ATAAAAACCTAAATTATCCCTTTAAGGCCGCAGCAGAAATGATTGCGAATCGGCTCTAAAAGCCCGCTGAGCCGGGCGAGCTGTTTCCTTTTGTTCTCATCGTTAAAGTTAACGAAGAGGGGACCACAGTTTATTTCTACCATCGGCTCCCGTCTCATCACTGTGTCCAAACCATTTATCACCAATAAAACTAGTGCAACACAGCTGATAAGCTACAACCGCTTCCCTCATTTGGGACTTTCTGTATTTCCGTTTTAAAAACCGGTGTTACCGGGTCGTTATCGGACTGCCTCGTCGCCTCTCCAGCTGTGAGAGCTCTTCCAAATCCAGTTATCAGCCACAGTGAGTCAGACTCTGTCATACAGATGGATATGTGAATGAAGACATTATGGGTGTCAGCTTCCTCAGTTTCTCTCCTGACTCTCGGCCTTTTCTCTCTTTTGATATTTCTTTATCAGGTTTTAGGTGAATTCTTCTACTTTTCTAGATTTATATCGGCGCTTTTTTTTTTTTTTTTCTGACTTTACTAAGAAAAATGTCTGAAAAGCTTCGTACAAACGATATTTTAATGAGCATTTACCTTTGGGAACAGTATTTGTATACATACATATTTCAGCAGCATCTCTCGGCCTTCTTTAGCAAACAGCTGGCTCGTAATAAGTTCTCGTATATGTGAGTTCTCTTTCTTCCAGTTTAGCCTCGACCCTCTGAACGTGTTCCCCGCTGTATATAGAAATCATTCATTTCAGATGGAGAGTACTGCTGGTGCTCTGAGTTTGCTAACAGTCCACTAAACTGTCCACATAGGGTTTCTTTCTGGCAGGGCGCTGGGAGAGCTGGGCTGTTTCTAATGATGACTTCTTGGCAATTTCTAACAATATGTGTTAGCTTTACGAGCGTGCTGTGGGTGTGTAAAGCTGCAGAAAAAACAGGTGGAGATATCTCTTTTTACTTGAGTTGTCAACTCTCTTCACTTCACCACTCCACTGTGTGTGCAGGAGCCGAGCTCGGCCAAACAACCAGACAGACAGAAGTTAAACGTGGTAAAGAACTCAGTAGGTTTCTGTCTCTGTTGTGATAGTTTCTGACATATCATAAAGCTCAGGATGGGCAGAACAAGAAGAAAACTTCTCCTTCAAATATCCATAAAATATGTCAGGGTCTCCTGAGGTTAAAGGTCAGGAACCACTGTAATATATGATTGGTTGCTCGCTGCTCGCACTAAAAAGGCGGCGTGCTCTCTACGCTCTCTCCTCGCTGGCGCTCAGAAGAAAACGCTGTGTGGACACAAAGACAATGAAAAAAGTGTAAATATGTGAAAGTGAATGTTTTATACACTTGTATAAGAACCTAACTGTACAAAGCTGTAGATTTATTTTGATAGGAAGATTGCTTATGATTGGTGGGTTTATTCCTCACAGTTGGGTAGAAGAGCGAAGAGCTTCTGTTGCTTCTCTTCGATTATTGTGAAACTTGATGCTGTTTGATTTCCCGGTTCAGTTGAAGTGAATTCAGATCCAGATGGTGCGTTCAGGTGCTCCTCGACAACTCGGGACGAGTCAGGTCTGAGTTCACCACATCGTCATATACAGATGGACGTCTCGTCAGGCTACGGCCGCTGCCATCTTCCGCCATATAGAGCCGGAGTCTGCAGTAGTGATCGGGGTTGGAGCCGCCGTATTGAACTCCTGCTGTCAATCATGTGAAACCCCCTTTTTCTAGCTTCAGATATCTAATTAAAACCAGACTGAAGAACATCAGCGCCATATAAACCATCTAAAACGACAGGAAACGTCTTTGGGAAAATGTATTAATGTTGATTTTCCAGTTTGTCCCATCTGCTAACATGGAGGGGGTTTGGTTTATGACCTGTACTGCAGCCAGCCACCAGGGGGCGATCACGATGTTTTGTCTTGTTATGACGTCCATGTGTTACCTGCCGATGGTTCACCTGCAGACTGGCTCATGTTAGCTCTGATTTGTGGAGGATGAGCCTGAACGCAGCACCAGTTCACACACGTCAAAGCTTCAAAGTCAAAGTTGTCTCTTTTTTTTTTTTACTTTCGTACTTTGTTTAAAGCATGAACAAAACTAAAAAAAGTTTTCTGACTTTGATTAAAATGGTGAAATTCCAGTCGGTGTGTGTGTGTGTGTGTGTGTGTGTGTCACATTCAGGAGATTATGTGTGAGACTTTACCACAAACAACCAAACGGCCCCCAGCAGCACCGAGCGGCTACCAACCAAACTCTGGAGGAAATTCTGAATATTAAAGAATTACAACAATTTGACATTTCTTTTATTATTTTGTTTCTATTTCCTCTCCTTAAACAATGTTCTGCTGCCAGATATATAATATATAAAGTATTACATTCCATTCCTTTTACTTAAAGGTGTCAGAAATAGAATATAATATTCATAGGTATGTTTCATTAGTGTATAACCACCTGAATATAAGAGTCATTGTGTGTTTGTTACCTTAAAATAAGCAGTATTTATCTCCAGAGGGAGCGGGTCCTCTTCTACAGAGTCTGCAATGATGAACCGCCATGTTTTAGCCACTAAATCTACACACTGGACCTTAAAATATGTTTTATCCTTAAATACAATCAGATCTACAAAAATCTACACACAGTAGCTTCATATCACGACCACACTTATGATTTATTTAGTTTGAGCTAAAGATCAGCGTCAGTTCTTGTGTTCTGGTTGGAGCCAAGGTAAAGATGAGTAGTTACACTCACGAAGCTGTTTCGTTAAACATTTAGGATATGAATTACTCCATGAAGCAGATGGGTGCTGCTATAACAGCGGTTCACAGATGATCAATATACATAACTGATCAACGGAAGCAGTTTGACTGTTAACTCGACTGTCGTTACTTATAGTTAATCCAATTTATATACAGACTGCTTGGAACAATAATGTGTGTCTGATATTAAAGAATCATTCCCGCATTAAATCCTCAGAAAGTCATCACTGCTTCCTCATTAATGACTCCTCCCAGGTCCGTGATGCAGTCTCAGTTAATGTCATATATTAAATTCTTAATGTGTGCCCATACCATTAGTTAACGTGTTAATGTCTCAGTTAATGCATATATTAACAGTTAATATGCAATGTCTCAGTTTTATTAACAGTTAATTAGTGTAATCGTGTAGTTGAATGATTCCAGATGAACATTTCGTCCGACACACTGAAGTTGACATCCCCTCTCTGTGGTTGGCGGATTTTGTATTTGCGATATACAGTGTTTGTGTGTTTGTTACAAACAGATGGTCTCGCTGGTTTGTTCACAGACCACCAGGACACTCCCTTATGCTTCAGTGTGTGTGTGTGTGTGTGTGTGTGTGTGTGTGTTTACAGTGACCTCCCCCTGCAGTACAGTCCACTGAACAGCCAGAGAGTGAATCCTTACAGTGACCCCTTCCCTTTACACCTAGAGCTCCGAACTGATTTTATCTTCTGGTTATATTTATATGTGAATTTAGGGGAGAACAGGTTGTTTGTCCCA